AGCGTGCATTCTATTTAAAAAACCAGGCAGCCCTAAGTGGGGGGCTGTGGTCCCCTCAGCCCGCCTTCCCTGTCTTGAAAAAGAGACATGTTTGGGGCCCCTGGCTGATGGCTCAGCAGAGCTGTAATTAATCTGCTTATCTGAGAAATCTTATCAGCCCAGAGGCCACACTGACCAGGAAACGGGGGTGGGGGGTGGGGGGGGTGTTCAACAGGTCCAGATTCCCACAACCCACCCCTCTGCTGGCACAATAGTTAAGCTCTCAGCTGTTAACCCAAAGTCACGGCCCCTCCCCGAGGATCTGAGGAAGAAAGACCTGGCAAGACAAGAAAGCCCTGTGAAGCCATCCTCTGTCACGTGGGGTCAGCAGAGCCAGAGTCCCTTTTCAGGCATGCAACAGCAGTGACGGCATAAACCATTAAACAAAATCCTTGGGGCACAAACAATTAAGTGATTGACTAACCAAAGCGTGGTGCTTCCAATCCACCCAGAAGCACCTTGGAAGAAAGGCCTGGCAACCTGACTTCCAACAGGTCACAGCCTCGAACCCCCTGCACACCTGGGCCATCAGTAAGAATCAACCTGACAATTAACAGCAGCAGCACATCAGTAGGTTCCACACTCACCACCAAGCGGACTAGGTGCTTCTGGACCAGACACACAGTGGTGCCAAGGAAGAAAGGCCTGGCTGCCTGCGTACACAGCTATTACAGCCCAGCACACGACTCTCTGGAGTCAGACAGACTCAGGTGGGGTCAGTGGGGCCTGAGCCCACTGGGCAGCTGGGCTGGGCTGCTGGGTTTTGCTGGACACACAGTAGTTCCTGTGGCCGGGCAAGCTGCCTGCACTAGGCTCTAACCTGCAGGCGGCACCACCAGTCACCGGTAGCCCCGAGGGAGAAAGGCCTGGTGACCAGCTTCTGGGAAGACAACAGTCTCAGGCACCCTTGTGGGTGGTTCTCCTGTCCCACGGGCCACCACAAACAGGAACGGGACTGCTGGACGGCAGTGGGCTGGGCTTGGTTTCCTGCGTCATTATTCCCCAGCCTGCGCCACCCCATCGCACCCCTGGAACTTATCTCAGACCCTGGGAGCAGGGGCAGCGGGGCTCCAGGACTCATCTTCCTGCGTTCCCAGCGACCTTGTGGATGCCCTCCCATCCTGGTCCTCTCCCCAGCCGGCCCACGCGGCCCCCTCACGGCCCACACTCACTGTGTTGCCTAGCAACCGGGTCCACTCCCCGGGATGGGGACAGCAGCCGCAGCAGCCACGTAGATGACGCGTGTGAGGGGCTGGGCCCCTCTTGGTCCCATTCCTTTGGGGTCTGGGCCGGGGTCTCACTGCCACAGTGCTGTCCTGCTCTGGGCTTGGGGACGTGAGGCCAGCGCTGGTGGCTTTTCCGCGTCTATGACGGGCTCTGGGGCCCAGACGGCTCAGCCATCTGGTCCCGACATGTCACAGTCTAGTCACTGCTGGATTCTGCTGCCGCGGAGACAGGCTCCGGATTTCGGAGTCGCCGGGAGGTGGGCTTAACTCTTTGTCGGCGGGACTGGTTTTCGACCACCTGGCGGCGGGCTAGTGCCCGCAACCCTGGAGCCAGGATGGAAGCGGTGCTGAGGGTGAGGCGGTGCTGGGCGAAGGCGGACAGTTGCGGGCTCAGACGTGCGGTGACACCTGCAGTCCCCTCCTTTCACCTGTTGTCTAGCTGGCTTGCAGCGGTCACCACGGGCAGCGAGCGCTGGCTCGGAAGCAGAGTGTGTGATCCGGACAGCTCCACACAGTAAGCCTGGGTGAAGTGCTGACGTGCTGCGCTGCAGGGCCAGCGGCACCTCCGTGGGACAAAGGACCTGGGGACTTGCTCTTGGAAACACCCGAGGGGGGAACCCTAGGAGAGCCTCTGTCCTGTCACTCAGCCACTGACCAAACAGCCAGCGTGCATGGGGCAGGGGTGGGGAGGACCCTGAGGGGTGCAGTGATGTACTCGGCTGCTGAAAGGCCCTTCACCGAGAGGCGCCTCGGAAGGCAGGCCTGGCAATCTCCTCCAGAAAGTGTGGGACACACAGACACACACACACACAGTGGGGACCAGCCTGATGGTGTGGGGACAGTGGTGCTGCAGCGGTGACATGTCCAGGCTTAAGGCCCAGCTAGCCTTCCCGTGCGCAGCCTCTGCCCCTCGGCTGGGGAGGTTTGTGTGTTACTACAACGGGCTTCGTGTGACAGGAGATGGCGAGGACAGGACAGCACAGGGCTGACACACCGTTCACAGGATCGCTGTCATACTCAACTCAGTGGCACCTGACAGAAGGACACCGAAGAGTTCCATGGTGCTTCCAGGCTGCTGAGAAGAGACTAGGAAGAAAGACCTGGCAATTGACCCTCCCACCAAAACACCAGCCACTGAAAATACACAGGTGGTTGGCTGGCTCCTCTAGCTCCCGGGGGGGTCCCAACAGGGAAAAGGCGGAGCGATCTCTGTCCTGGGAAATCCATGGGTCGGGCAGGACCCGGGGTAGAAGGGAGATGGCCCGTGTGTTTGGGATGGAGGAGTGATACTGAGCCCGAGAGCCCAGGGACTAGGCAGGAAGAGCCTCCCAAGCAGAGGGACACAGGACCTGAGGCAGAACAAGCCGGGCTCCTCCAGGGTCAGCAGAGGGCAGTGGGGCTGGGGCAGAGGTGGGCGTGAGGGGAGAGGAGGGGAGGGCAGTGGGGCTGGGGCAGAGGTGGGCGCGAGGGGAGAGGAGGGTCCTGGAGGAGGGGCACTGTGCAAACTAGGCTTTTCTCCTGCACATAGTGGGGATTTAAGCAGCCAGAATACCTTGAAGATGTGAAGTCACCAGATTTCCCGACAGTATGGCAAACAGTGGAAGCCAGGAGGGCTGCCTGGTAGAGGTGGCAGCCAGGGCTGACCAAGGGTAACTCCCTTGTGTGAGATGTAGGTGAGGGGAGAGGGTAAGGGACCCAGGTCCTCAAGAAGGCACTGGCGGGTGGGTTGCAGAGCAGTGACTGCCCCAGGGTGACCTGAGGCGGGCCTCACTAGTGTCCTGGGGCTGACATCAGCTCAGGGAGCCGGCCTCCCCTTGGGCTGGATTTGAGGGGACTCAGGTCAGCCTCCCTGCCCCATGCTCTCCCCTGACCCCAACCCCTGCAGTGACCCAGGTCCACACACTGCTGACCACTGCCTTCCGCTAGACCCTCAGTGCCCTGAGGTTTCCGTAGCTGTGGCGTCAAGGACTGGTTGCTCCAAACGGTTTTCCCAGACGCTGACTTCACCACATGCACAGGATGTAACACGTGGGCAAGCTGTCTATCCATGAGGCGGCTGGCCAGTTTTGTTTTGCCATGAAATTGACTGGATTCAGCATCAGAAATAGGAAATCTCAGGATCAAGGAGGCGGTGGCTGTGTGGCTCCTTCGAGGCCACAGGTTTCTGGGCCAGCCGGAGATCTGCAGGAGCACCGATGGCCTCAGCAGAGAACCAGAGGTGGTGAGAGGCGCGACCTGGGGCTGCAGCCCACAGTCAGGGCCCTCTGCCAAGGACACTGTAAGGACCAAGCGAACTTTAGGACATTGACCTGAACAGTGAGGCTGAAGGTCAAAGGGCCTGAGCCCACACCAGAGCAGCTGTCTGGACTGAGGGACTGTAGCCTGCTGCCCACCTGGAGGTTGGTGTGTAACTTCCCTCAATCCCACAACCCTAGAAGGTTCTGTGAGGTCTAGGCGGTCACTGCAGGGGATTAAAGCCCACAAGAGCTGGTGGCCTGGCAGGACCTGTGCAGGAACGTGGGGCCGACTGACTTAATGGGGATGAGCTCTGCACCGTGGATGGTGTTTATGGGGACAGTTCCGCTCTGGGGAGTTAAAGTCTGATCTGGCCGTCCCCACGCTGCCTATGCCCTTTTTACAGCACGATTTGGGGAAACTGTGTAAGCAGCTCCAATGACACTGAGTCACTGGACTGCCAACTGAAAGGTTGCTGGTTCGAATGCACCAGCAGCTCTGAGCAGAAAGCTGAGGTCTGCTCTCAGATGTTCAACCTCAAGAGACCGACGGAGGTCCACAGTAGCAGGCTTGGAGGTTTGGGTATGTGGCTGCCTCTCTACACTCTTGGCCTCTTCCTCCAGGAAGCCTTCCAGGTTCCTGGTCCACCCACCGCCTGACAGCAGGGAGCTCCCTAATTCCAGGGCGGTGCCAGCCTCTCTGGACAGTGCCCTACTAGGTGGCTCTAGGGCCTCAACTTTTGTCACTCCAGCGTCTGAAGAAGGCATGGGCGCAGCAGGACCTCACCCATGGGCGGCCACTCCACATGGGCAGTGGAGACACCTGGCTGTTTTCCTCTGACTCCCCGGACCCTGCTGGGAGGCTGAGTTGACCACAGGCTGCCCCGGGGGCACAGACTCCAGCTTAGGACACTGTGTCCTGAGTTCTCGGGGCCCACCTGAGTCTAACCCTGCATCTGAGGGGCACGGCCTGCGGCGAGTGGGTCTGGAAGGGGAGGAAAGGCAGGGTGAGCCCAGATGACTCCCTGGTGTGCTGGACATGCTCTGAAGGGACTGGTGGTTCAGGCTCCAACCTCAGGCCAGAAGGACTTCTGGGATGAGCGCCTCACCTGCCCCACTGTGCTAAACCCCCCTGGATGGGCAAGCCTGTAAGGCTGAGCTGAGCGGGGGGGATCCCTGAGACTTGGCCTACACTCTGTGGCCATGTGGTGCTGGCCAGAGCCACTGACTTGGCCACCAACACCCAGCCCCCTCATCTCAGTCCACAGGGCCACCAGCAGCCTTGCCCACGGCTGCGCCATGTCTGCCAGCCTGGAGGAAACGGGAGGGCACAGACACACGTGAGCAAACGTCTTTAATGAACAGAGCACAGGTGTCTCTAAGAGAAGCCTACAGAGGTGAATCAGGAACCCCCAACTGTCAAACGCCAGGTACAGCCAGGACCTGGGACCCGTCCCCGAGGACACACGGGTGTGAGGACGCTCGGTGGCCAGCGTGGGGCTCAGGCAGGCCGGTCCCCGCCCCTCCGGCCCCGCTTCCTCCCGCTCTGGCGCGCCTCGGCCTCCGCCTCGTCCCGCAGCCTCTTCTGGAAGTGCGCGCGGGACCTGCTCTTCGGCAGCCGGTCCATGCCCAGGACCCTGTGGATCTTCCGGAAGGCCAGCATGCGCAGGGCGTGCTGTGGGGAAATGGAGCTCAGGACAGCGCCAACCCACAGCCCGCGCCCTCAGCTGCCTGTCGTGCTCCAGGACACCCATGGGGACATCCCACACCTTTCCTGCAGACGCCGGCCACAAACGGCCAGAAGCCTGCGGGAGAGCCCATCCGAGGCCCAGGAGCGGGGACAGCGCTGAGCACCCAGCCCGCACGTCCCGCCCTACCTGGGCGCTGGCCGTGACCTCCTCCCGCTCCTGTCTCGTCATGGAGTCCAGGACGTCCTGTGGGTCACGCTCGCAGGGGTCCTGCAGCCCAGGTCCATCTTTGGGGGACAGCAGGGAAGAAAGGACATGAGAGCCTATCCACGGAAGCTCATAAAGCTGCCCAAGTGGAACTGTCCACGTGGCCAGCCCCCACTGAACTCAGAAGGAACCTGGTCTGTGTGTCTCCCGGCCCCTCTGGCTGTCCCAGTGTGGTCCTGCTCTCTGCTGAGGGCATGTGTGTGAGCCCCCTTGGGCTGCCCCATCCCATGCTGGCCCTTGTCATGTGCTTCTCAGCCTGGTTTCAGGCCCACGGGGGACTCACCGGCCAGGAGCATGCCCGCAGACACGCACTCCAGGACCCTCCTCATGGCGTCACCGGGGCCCAGGGGCCCTGTGGCACTGCTCAGTGCCTTCTCCACCAGCAGCTCCATTGCCTGCAGTGGACATGCTGGACTTCAAGGTCAGCTCCCAGGGACCGGCGTTACCCTCTCCCCTCTAGACTGCCTGTGTGTCTCCACAGAGGGAGCGGAGGTACCCGGCACTATGACACAACCACAAACGAGGTTCTCCCTCTAAGTCTGTTTTCCCACCTGTACGATCTGGTGTAGTAATACCGTCAACTTGTGAAAGAAAAAAAAATAACTGCCCCCTCCTCCAGGAAGCCTCCCTCGGGTGCACCAGACCCAGTCTGGTTGCTGTGAACTCCCAGGGATGGACCATTAGTGGCTGTGTCTTCCTGGCACTGATGGAGTGCTGGGCTGGGGATTTCTATATCGACAGGAGGAAAGGGACTGACTGGCAGAGAGAATGTCCAGGTCCAGCCCCCCAACAAGGCCAGCACAGGCCAGGACCCAGAACAAACGGTCTTGCTTTGGAGGGTGCCAGCCTGGAGGCAGATGAAGTACGCCAACAGCATATAACGGGTCCTGAGCAGGTCCATCACCACACCCACAGGGGAGGGGGACACGAGGGCCTTGCCGGTGCCCTGGTGTTCAGCCCTCACCTTCCCTGGGATACATGGGGGTTTCTGTCTCTTTTACTGTAAAACGCCCAGTGCTGAACATCTCTGTCTCCAGCTGTGACCAGTTCCGGGCCTTGTCTTGGGCAAGCTCTCAGATGCTGCCCAGGGAGGACGCTGACAGCTGGCTTTCTAGAAGACTGTGGGGTGTCAGCACGGCAAGGCCACTTGGGGCTGGCCAGGTGGCTCAGCTGGTGCCGCACATTGGCTTGTCTGATTTTGGGGTGAGAAACGCATTCAAACAAGCCCTGCCTGCACCCTCTCAGCCTCTTCTTGGAATGTGGTTCCAGGATAGAAGGCACTGCCCCTGGGTCTTACCCGGTTCGGCAGGGCCCCCCAGCTGGGCACACGCTGGCATAGGTCTCGGAGGACCCGGATGACCACCACGCACGACTGCAGGCCATTGGCACGAGCCTTGAGAGAACAGAGGGTCAGGGACCAGAGGTCACACACAGCAATGTGAGGGCCCAGGGACGTGCGGCAGGGAAGTGGCCACATGGGAGTGGGGATCTCTGCAGGCCTAGAGGGTGTTAGGGGCTTCACATTTAAAGGAACATCTTCTGCCCCACAGCAGAGCAGACTCCATTCATCAGCTGGGTTGAAACATGTATCCACTCCAGAAATGGCCACTGCCCCAAAGGAGATGCAGCTAGGTGCTCCTGGGTGAGGTCCTGACCACAGGTGCCCACTTGAACCACGGATCCAGGCACCCTGAGGTCCAGGGGAGCCCTCATCTGAATGACTGGTACAGCCTCCCAACCTGGAACCACTGGTAGGGTCCCTCGGCAGCCCTCACCTAAACCCTTGGTACAGTTTTCCTGCCGCTGGGGCACCCCCTCTCCTAGAACCCGTGGTACAGTCCCCTTCAGGCCTGGAACAGGCCTCACCTCAGCCCCTGGTACAGCCTCTCACCTGGAACCACTTGGCATGGCGCAGGGCGGCCAGGGACTCCAGGCATTTCTCTGGGCTCAGCATGTCCTCGGGGTCGGGGCTTGCCTCTTCAGCTGCTTCTAGAAGGAACTGAGAGTGAGGCATGGAGAGTGGGGCGCACGGCCCTTCCCTCTGCTGTGGCCTCCAGGGCCCTCGGTGGCTCTGCCTCTCCTTGGGCCGGTGTTTTTGAGGACCGACTCCCTCCTCCACAGTGGTAGAGCCCACTCTTGCAGGTTAGAGTCAGCTCCCAAGAGAAAGGTGGGCACTTCGGGCCTGCCCAATGGCGTGTGGAGGACGTCCTGATCCGTCCCCCGAGGACAGCCCTGCTCACCCTACGGGAGGTTCACAGTCACATGGGGGGCAGCAGTCAGAGATGACCTCTGGGGGGGCCCAACAATGACTACAAAAGAGCAGGCAGAGGGATGTCAGCCGCCTTTCCAGCACCTTCTGAATGTGTAAGAAAAGAAACAGGGCCAGACGATAATTCGTCCTTGTCCTGTTTGAGGACAGGGCCCAGTGTCTGAGAGGAAGTTGCCATTTTTCCGACTTTGTTATCAACTCTTCCAAAACGTTCTCTGGAAGCTGAGCCATTTCATGACATAACTGGGGCTGTGTGAAGAGGCGGCCTTTTGCCCCAGTCCCTAGGTCCTAGTGGAGCCCACCTGCCCTCCACCCATGCCACCTCCAAACGGCCAAGGAAGCTGGGCAGACCAGCTGGTCACTGCCAGGGCGGGGGGAGGCGGGAGCCACGTCCTCCTTGAGGGTGGAAGAAGGCCTGTGCAGGAGGACTCCCGGTTCTCTCATCCCTCCAGGAGTGGACCTTCGACACGACAGGGTCTGCTCTGCCTCTCAGAGCCCCGAGTGACAGGTGGATGGTCCCAGTGACAAAGCCAGCCCCCTGCACAGACCTCACCGCCATTCCCCACTCAAATGACCTTTCTCAAGGATGATGGCTCCACAGTGCTGGGTATGCTCAGTCTAACAGGGCAAAGTCCAGGTCAAGAGGAACCAAGTGGACTGATGGGTAAACCCTAACCACGCTGTGTGTCCCTGCGCTGGGCCTTGTGTCACGCCCCCAGCAGGCCTCGTGTCTGAGGCCTCAACAAGGCCGTCGGTGCCCCTCCAACTGTCCCGGGGGAGAAGCAGAGGGGTGGTAGGAGCTGCTGGCTCCCAGCTGGGGACAGGAAGGAAGCCAGGGAGGTGGGAGGCCCAGGTGTGAATGGCCAGCGGCCGCTCCCCATATGACACCATCAGCCCCCCCAGAGGAAGCCCGCAGCCCTGGGGACTTCAGGGTGCAGAAGGCATGCAGGGCTCGGGAGGGGGCAGAGGCCCGGCGGTACCTTGGTCTGGGTCTGCAGTGGGGTCCTTCCGCATCAAGGGTGATGTGACAGACACAGTCACCTGCATGCGGGGCTCCTGGCAGGAGGAGATGGTGATGCTGGCCTCAGAGTCTGAAGACACCTCGTACTTCTCATCAGTCACCACCTAGAGAAGCAGACACACGAGGCCTTGTCACTCCAGGCCATGAGCTCTCACACTGACGTGGACAAGGACCTGGCCAGCTCCCCCTCAGGACATGCACAGGGTGCCAGGTCTTGTGACAAGCTCCCAGACTCTCCGCAGGCTGAGCCCCCGGCCCAGAGCTAAGTGCCAACAGGCGATCCTGTTAAATGGGGTGCACCCCCCTCACACGTGAAGAGCTCTGGACACTCAGCAGGAGGCCAGCACACGGGCTCGCCGGTGCCGCGTAAAGCAATGAGAGCAGGCCGAGACCCCTCACCGGGACGGGGCTAGGCACAAGGTCTGAGCAGCAGTGACCACTGAGTGGGGACCGGTAGCAGCCAGCCAAGCGACCAATCAGAAGTCGTTACTACTGGTGCCATCAGGTAGGTTCCGACTCAAGACCGGTGGGTCCCAGAGCAGGACCCCCTGGAAGGGCTTTCCCATGGGGCCGCAGGTGCGTGTCAGCACTGACCTTACGCCTCCCCCGACACCTGCAGGCTCCTCAGTCAGCCCGCCATTCTCCCTCGAGAGGCTGAGGGGTCTGAACGCTCATCTTTCTACCTGGCCATTTAACACGTTAACGCTCGTCACCACTAGAGCCCCTTCCACACGTTAAGTCGACTGGGGCCGACAGCAACCCTGTGTATTAAACAGCTGGAAACTCGGCTCGTGCCGTGCCCTCCTCTGCCAGGCTCAAGTCCAGGGGACAGCCACTCAACAGTCCATCTCTGCGAGCGTCATCCTGTCACCGACCCTCCACTTTCCCCACGTGGGGTCTTTGTTAGAAAGCAGAACTGGGTGGACACCCACTGCCGACACCTCTCTGGCCTTGTGAATACTTGTCAGCTACAGAGGTAGGTGCAGTCACAGGCCGCAAACCAGTTACTGTGGTCAACGGACTGAGCCGGCTCTACCTCTCTCGGCCGGTGGCAGGAAGGAGCGTCGGAGCCTGTCCACACTACGGCAGTACCTTCCCACGGGTCGGGTCCAAGTCGGCACTCTGCGTATGAGCAAGCCCAGGTGACGCACAGCTAAGCGCTTGAGCTAACGGAAAGGTCAGGGGCTTGGACCCAGCCAGCAGAGAGGCTCTGAAGGCCCACGAGCAGGCACTCTACCGCGGGGGACTAACGTGAGGTTGAGACCAGCTGACGGCACCCAGCCACCTCCCCAGAGGAGCCCTGGAGGCACACGGGCCCCACCGCGGGGTGCTTCCTCCACTCTGAGCCCTGGAATGCCCCACTACTGTGTAGAGAAGAGAGGGATTTGTGGAGCGAGGGCTGGAGTCAAGTGTACAGTACAGGGCTACTAACCCAATGGCTGGCAGTTCAAGTCCACCAACTGCTCTGTGGGAGAGAGACGCAGCCTCCTGTGAAAAGGGGCAGCCTCAAAAGCCTCAGATGGCCAGACCCCACAAAGTTGGCTGTATTCCTCTGCCTGAAGGCGCCCCTAGGAGGGGCAAATGGGCAACACCTGGGTTGTTAATAAAAGGTGGCTGACTCGTCTACCCAGAGCGTCAGAAGAAAGGCTTGGCGATCTACTTCTGGAAGCTCAGCTAGGGACACCCCTCTGGGGCCCAGCTCCCCTCTGGCAGACACCACCGTGATGACTGGGCTGGACTAGGGGCTGGCGGTCTGAGGAGCAGGGACACCCAGGGATGGGCTGGTGGCACTGCGGTGGAAGCCATAGAAGGGCCACCGACCTTACCAGGAGCTGCTGGGGCAGCCGCTCGGTGATCTTGTGCAGCAGGGCCCGCGTGGGCTTCTCCGAGCAGAGCAGGATCAGGCGCACATGCCGGTCACCGCGCAGGAGGAGGCCCTTTGCCAGGAGGCCGACCCTCATCACGCCCTTCAGGACCCTTGAGGAGGGGCTGGCACTGTGGGCAGATCCGGACACTGTGAGGGACGGTCACCAGGGGAAGGGGTGCCGGGAGGGCTGCCTGGCTGGGTGACGTGTGGTGAAGGTGGCTACTGGGGAAGAGGTGAGGCGAGGGTGTTGCTGCCGGGAGGGGTGGGAGAAGTGCGCTGTAGGTGGGCAAGGTGTGGCGTGAGGGCACAGTGTGATGGGGAGAGGTGTGGTGCAGGGGACTGGGCTGGTGGTGTAGCGAGAACCGGGACTTGGGGGCACAGTCTAGCTGGGGGCAGAAAAGGCCCAGGTGGCCAAGCCAGTCAGGGTAGGGACTCAGAGGGCAGAAAGGACCCTGGGGAGCCTGAGCTGGACAGAGATCCCCCGAAGCCCCACTGCCTGATCCAGCCGGTTACCTGCGCTCCCCGTCCTGTTCTGGGGAGCTGGCGGCCCTCTCCTGAGCCAGCGCGTCGGACACCAGCTTGAGCGCGCGCTCCGAGTGCGACACGACCTTCTGCACGGCCTGCAGCTCGCTCTCAGTAGGGTAGATGGTGGCATGCTTCCACATCACGTGGCGGTCGTCACTGGACTCCGGCCGCGCTGGCTGCGGGGAGGCCAGGCATCAGGGCAGGGAGGGGGCAGGGCCATCCCGGGGACGCCTGGTCAGGTGAGCTTCAGGGTGGTGGATGGTGACAGGGACCCGGAGGTCCAGTGACTGGGTGTGCTGTACCCCAGGCCCACCTGGACTTGGTGACTGTGACAGCAGAACCCAGGGCTGGGCGGGCACTCGCTGACTCCTCAGAGCCACATAAAGGCCAGAGAGGGTCAGCACTGGGCTCGGAGAGTGGGGCTGGTTTCCCAGAAACAAAACCAAACGAGGCCAAGAGCATCCTGACTCCTGGCGGTACTGCGTGTCAGGGCAGACCTGCACACACAGGGTTCTCTCGGCTGTCACTTTTAAGTGCTCAGCCTGCCAGGCCTTTCTTCCATGGGACTGCGGAGTCTGTTCCATCTGCACCTGAGCACAGTGGCCAACTAAAGGTGCAGCTGGACTGCAAGGTCTGGCTCGTACAGAAATGGGGGGACAGGTCAGCGCGAGCCACACTGTCAGGGAGGCACAGGGCCAAGGACAGGGAAGGGGCTGCAGCAGCAGGGCCAAGGGCTGGGCCTCCTTGTGTCCTAGGAGGGGGGCTGGGCCACACGTCTCTCAGACTCTTCCCCCGCCCTGCCCAGTCTTGGGAACCGCGCGGGCATCTTGAGTCCTTAGGGAAGGTTCCAGATGCTTCCAGCGAGGTACGAGCCACAGATGGGAACATGTGAGAATGATGCCCGGGGCACTTCCACCTTGACGGGCATTTGAATACTGAGGTGCTGGGGTGCACACCCACCAGGAGGGGCCCTGAAGATGCTCCTGACTGGCCCATGAGTGGGGGGGGTGGCCCATCAGGCGACGTCCAGCGCGGGTGCTCCCCCAACAGTGGCTGCCCCTCCCCGCGCCGCTGCCACGACCCTTCCTGGTAGTGCCTGCAGAGGACAGGGAGGACACAGTGACGACCTCCTTCCATTAGAAATCACCTACCTTGTTTCCCACAAAATCCTTCCCGGCCGTGCCAAGGTCCTGCACCACATGGCTGACCACACAGACGCTCTTAGTGGAGCTCAAACGGGGGCACCTCAGCTGCACAAGAATGCGTGCATTCCCATTACACGGACCCAGAAACTGAGGCTCCATGGGGTTGGGTCAACTCTGGAGTCCACCTCCAACCCTTTCTGGCTCTAAGCTGTGACCGATGCCCTTTGAACCAATCTCTGATCGGAAACCCTTGGAAAAGGGGCAAAGAGGTGGGGGAGCAGAGTGTCACTGCTCCTGCCGGTGGACGTGGGACAGCAGGGCCAGGCCGTGGGGAGCAGCCTGTGCTGTCTGCTGCTGCGCCTGGCTCGCAGGGATCCCCACGCGGCAGCGTAGGGCTGTGCCGCCATGTTCCCGAGTGAGCCTTTCCCCACAGCACTTCTGGGGAAGCAGCACCCGAACACTCACCCCTCGGGTCACCTGGGGCCCTGCGACTCTCCAACCCTCCAGTGTTCACGACTGTCACCCCAGAACTGACAAATGACTACGGGTGACGAAGGATTCACCGCACAACAAGGGTCTGGGCCCCCCAGCACACACTGCTGGGGCGCAGGCGGGGCTTGAGACAGCTCACGGAGGCGGGGAGGGCGGGCTCGGATCTGGCCCACGGCGCCCACCTCATCTCCGAGTGCCAGTGCTGGACCACCTCGCGGCGCCGCGCCAGCTCCTTCTGCCGCTGCTTCCGCAGCTTGTCCTCCATGTGCCTGTGCGCCCGGCCGCTGGGCTTCGCCACGATCGGCAGGTCGGGGTTCACTTTTTTCTGGAAACAAAGGCTTTGAGATGAGAGGCCCGAGTTTTGACTGAAGTGTGCATGTGTATGTGGGCCTACGCATGTCTGTGAGGTGTGAATCCGGGGACGTGTCCACGTGACTATGCATATAAAGAGCTCATGTCGACACGTGTATCATATGTACCTGTGCAAACACAGGAAAACTCAGCAACAATCTGTCCCATGCCCGTGACACCCTGCTTGCTGCAAATAAAGATCTGAAAGAGTTACTAAAGAAGTTTAAAGACTATAGCCTTTAGTATGCATCACACCCCAACATTAAAAACCAAAAATCCAGGGAGCTCTGGTGGCCTAGTGGCAAGAAGCTGCACTGCAACCCCCGAGGCATGTGGTTCGAATCCACCAGATGCTCTGCTGGAGAAGGAGGGAAATCTCCTCCTGTACCAGTCAGATCTGATTTGACGGTATACACTCAAAAAACAGTGAAATAAAATAAAAAAACCCCCACCCTAAAAATCCTTACAACTGGACCAATGAGAGAAAAGGCGAATTTGTCCATGATTTCCTTTTACATGAATCCATAGTCGATACCCATCGTAGCCTCAGTCAAGAAATCAAAGGACGTTCTGCTCACGTCCCCTGACGGGGAGCTGACAGACGTGACCACTGAACTGCCGCCCAGCAAGCGTAACCCCTTGTTACGAGACCTCCCCTCACAATCTTCAGGGAATATTCCATTTGCACTGGGAAGGCACTGTCCTGGGACTCGACCCACTGACCCTGCTACACAGCAGGGATAGAAACACTGACACGCCTGTGCTGACAGGGTTGGAATCACACGGTGTTACCCTGTACTGCCAGCACTGTCGTAAACCTTCAGCCAGAAGGACAAACCTCTGTGCTGGAGACAGTGCCCCAGAGCGCTCTTCGGAGGCAAGGATGACGACGCTTCGCCTCACATTCGGGGGCGTGATGCTGGGAGAAGTTACTCCTTGGAGAGGGACATGATGCTCAGAGAGGCAGGTCAGCGAAGGAGCAGACGACCCTCAACTAGGTGGACGCGTGACCGCCGCAACAGGCTCCTGTGTGTCAGCGGGTGTGACAACGATGGCACAGGACAGGATAGGGTTCAGATCTGTTGTTCACGGGGTCGCTATGGGCTGTACTCAACTTGATGTCACGCAACAACCACCTAATAAACCTTTAGTAAATAACCAGGCAGCTCAATGCATTTTAAAAGAATTCAAGAAAGAAAAAAAGACAGGTAGTCATGGGGCAAATCTGCTGTCAAGGACCCCTTTAAAACACCAAGGAGCAAGAATACTAAAGCCTCAGGTGCCCTAAGCCAAACCATGGTATTTTCAACTGCTTCCCAGATATATGAAAATTGAACAAGGAATAAGAAAGACGGTGAGGTTGGCACAGGATAGAGCAGCGTTTAGGGCTCTTGTACACAGGGCACATAACAACAACAGAGAACAACTGATGCCTCTGAACTGTCATGTTGGCCAAGAGTACTGAGCTTCCATGGACTGTCGAAAGAACCACCAGATCTGTCTTAGACGAGTGCACACAGGGAGCTCGCTGGAGGCAAGGCTGGTGAAAAGCCATCTCACACACTAAGGGCATGACGTCAGGAGGGGCCGGGCCCTGGAGAAGGACATCGCGCCTGGTAAGCAGAGGGTCAACGAAGGTGAGGAGACCCTCAGTGGGACGGGCTGATTCAGAACTCCAACAGCAGTAAGGAGGACGCAGGCAGGGCAGGGTGTGGGCCTGGGGTCACTGGGGTTGCTGTAAACCAGATCCAACCGGCTGGCAACTAACACCAGGGTTTGGGGGGCAGCAGCGGGGGTGACTGCTGTTGGGTGTAGGGTTTATTTAGAGGGGAAGAGAAGTGTTCTGAAATTAGTGCCGATGGTTGTACACAATCGTGAATAAGCAAAACCCCAAACACAACACCCCATAAAGCAACAGCGACTTGCTTCTTTAAATGAGGGGACACAGGGCACGCAACTCACAGTCCAGCTGACTGACGTGTCGGCACATCTGCTGGACTGTTTGTACTAATAGCCAGAAACAACCCAGATGCCCACGAGTGGACCCTGAAAGTCACTGCAGTAACTCATGTGCATCGCTGCCCACTGCCAGACGCCTGCGGGGGGGTCAGAGACTGAGACAGAGCAGTGACGCCTGTAGAAGTCAGATACCAACAGGGCCGAGCATGAACACGCCAGAAATCAGACCACAAAAAAGCCACGTGGAAAACCGCCTGCAGCGCACATGCCCTTCCTCTGCTACAAGTGTGCAGACTCCACTGAGGAACAGGGACCAAGAGGACAGCTGTGGACCCAAAGTTCAGAGGTACAAATCCACTAGCAGCTCCACGGAAGGAGTTTGTCCTGTAAGATCACAGCCTTGGAAACCTCGTGCGGAGCTGTACCCTGCCCGCAGGGCCACCGTGAGGCAGACCCGAACCCCAGGAATGGGTGTTCGCGTGTACAAGTACACAAAGTGAACTACCTCAGTCCCATAAGGATAAATACTGTATACATACGATTACTGTGGGATGAATATGAGGATCCAAGGGGGGAAGCAGAGGGGTGAGGACAGGTGGGGAAGGGGGATTCATCATAAGGTCCTATAATTTGATGGGTGGGGGTGTGTAAAGGAAATGGGAAAAGTCTGGCGAGAAAAACCAATGTATCTGAACTTTGTAAATAAACCAGTATTCAAAAAAGGAAAAAAAACAACAAACCAAACCCAAAGACATTAAGAGGACTTTGAGCAGGGGTAGAAGCACAAAGGATTTAAATGTCTGTCCCTCTCTCTGGACTGTACTGGAAATACCCAGTCCACGCGGGACCTGAACAAGTCCCCTTGTAGGTGACCCCAGTGTGCAGGGCAGACCTGGGCTCCCAGGCCTTTCCTCCAAGGTGCCTCTGTGTGGGCTGTGAACCCCTGGCCGGGCGCTCACCTTGTACTGAAGCCGGTGACGCCGTCCCCGCACGTGCAGGTCCTTGGCGTTGGGGTCGTTGAAGCTACACTCGCACAGCTTGCAGTGGAAGCGGACCATCTTCCCGTCCTCATCGCGCACCTGCGCCAGGAGACACGTGCAAAGTCGTCGCAGGTCAGCTCCACGCTGAGACGCCCCCACTGCATCTTCTGCAGGGCCCCTGGCCTCCGGAGGGCAGGGCAAGGCTACAGTCCCCAGGAGGCACAGGTGAGACCTGCTCCCTGCTTCGCATCCTGCCATTATCCTAGGATCCCCAGCATCCCAGAGCCGACCTCCCACCATCTTCCTGCCCTCACTCTGCACACTGTCCCCAGCCCCTTACCCTGCTGCCCCCATCCCACTGCCCCCACCTCGCGTCCTCTCTGCCCACTGTCCCCATTCCCTGCCCTGCTGTCTTCTGAACATCATACCATCCCCATCCCCCACCCTGCCATCGTCCCTGCACACCAGCCCTGTCCTCCCCACACTGTTCCTACCGTCCTCCAGCTCGTCTACCAGTCCGTCCACCCATTTCACTGTCCTCCGGCCCGTTTACCCCTCCAGCTATTAGCTCAAGTGCTGGTCTCTACTCAATGCTTTTATATTAGCATTTAAAAGAAAAATTATTATTTTGTGCGTGTGTGTACACCATCAAATGGGACCTGACCGGTACAGGAGGAGACTGTCCCTGCTTTGCCAGCAGGGCATCTGGTGGATTCGAACTGTGAGCCTCTGGGATTGCAGTGCAGCTTCTAGCAGGCCATCAGAACTCCCTTAGCATTTTAGTTTTTGTGATAATAAAAATTTAAGTTTAGAAGTGGCATCAGGGGAAGGTGTGTGGGGACCCCCAGCCTTGGCAGGTCCAAGAAATCTGGACCAGAACAAATAGGCAGTGCCACCTCTACAGCATGTTCTGAACGGGGCAGCAGCCAAGTCCCAGAGATGAGGAGAAACCAGAACAAAGCCCAGAATCACCCAAAAGAGCACTGTTGGATGGCGACTGGGGGAACCCCTGAACATGGCCCCCAGAGAGTCCTAAGGTCTAGATCTGGACTTACCCAGTGGTTGAACTCACAGCCAAACCACAGACAGGCCCAGATTCCACTTGCTCCGAGGCGGGGCCTCCTCCTGTCCCCCTAGTCTGCCACCCACCGGTCAGTGCTGTGCACAGAACTCGCCACAGGACCATCAGAGCTCTAACTCTGTGGAGGCAGACGGCCAGCCCTCCTTCTGAGACACCACTGGGTAAGTTTAAACGACCAACTACCTAGCTGTCTACAGAGTTTAACCATCTGTGTCACCAAGGGACTCTGCGAGCAAGGCCTGACAGATGCACCAAGACACTGAGGACATGAGTGGGGTGGAAGTTTCAGGGGGACAGTCCTGACCTCCGATTAGGTCCTCTCTGGACGGAGACTTGGACCCTGTGGACTGTAAGGACGCCGCTGCACCGGCCCACTCACCTCCTCCACGTAGTCGGGCCCCACTGGCTCTGTGTCAGGTGAGTCGCCAGAGGCCTCCCCAGGGCCCTTGTGGGTGGGCGACTGGCCTGGGGCCTCTGTGCTGGGGGTGCTGGCCGGTCCCTCCTCGGGCTGGCTGCAGGCGGCCTGCGGCTGGGGCGATCCTGGGTGGAAAGAAAGGATTAAGAGAGCTGCTCCAGGAGGAGCCCAGCGCCATGGTCGCTCCTTGTCCTTGCTCTCTCTCAGAGCCACCTCTAGGCTGTGGGCGGGCTGTTTCCCAGGGGGCTGGCCCAGCCTGTAAGACGAGGAGCCCACCCACCACAAAGGCTGCGGCCCGATGGTCCAGGCACAGTCAGAGCCCCGGGCCTGCGCCTCTGCAGTACTTCCGGGATACTGCCCACAGGGTTTCCTAGGTGCGCATCTTCAGGAGATGCTGGGGGCTGTGAACTGCCCACACTTCGGTTAGGAGCCCAGACGTTAAACCACGTGTACCCCCAGAGCAGACCCTGACTCCACACCCCGTGAACCAGAGGAGTGCGGCCACGTGGTTCTCAGGACGGCGGTCCTCACAGAAGGAGCCCTGGTGGCGCAGCGGCTGAGCACTCAGCTGCTAACCACATCTCTGCAGCGTGATGCTGCCAGCAGCTCGGGGAGACAGGCCCGCAGTGAGCACGGCGCGGGCGCACAGCCGGCCACCACGAAACCGCCGGCCACACGCACAGCCGGGCACCACGAAACCGCCGGCCACACGCACAGCCGGGCACCATGAAACCGCCGGCCACACGCAC